CCTCCGCTCATGTGCACACAGCTCCGTGGTCCGTGGAAGGCAGACTTGAGACAGACTTGGCCGCGCGGTGCGCACTGAGCCGTAACCGTTAACCTGCAAAAAGTGGCAGCTCCCGCGATAATTAAATAGTCCAATGAAATAACAGAAACAAACTCTACTGCTCAGTAGGCGTGTCTCAGTTCAGCGGCCGTTTCCTTCGGAGGCGTTCGATTACTGTTTGGGCTGTCTGCCGTGGGCTGCATTCCACTCCAAATAGCCGGTCGGCCGCAGAATCCAAACGCCAGCTGTTTTATGAATTCTCATTTAATTTCCAAGAATATCTCAGTACTGGGTTATTTCCAATTTCAAAAATAAACATATGTATTAAACAAATAGAAATAAGAAGTAAGTATATTATAGTATATTCAAGAATGAAAAAATATAAAAAAACATGATTTTAACACTGTCATGTTGTAATTTTAACTGTATTGTATTGTTTTATGTATTACAGTTGTTCTGTGTTCAAACCACAGTAATCTGTAAATTATACAATGAAATATAATTATTTTAACATATTCTTAATGTGAATTTAACAGTTTTGTTTGGTTCAGTACTTCACGAAATATTACTGTAAATTAAACACTGCTTCATTGTTTCTCTATTTACAGTTTTTTGATGTTGTGATTTTACAGCTTTTCCCTGTTAATTTCACGGACTTTTTTTACAGTGTATAATTCATTCCTTTTGTTGTTAATTGTGGTTATTAAAAACCATGATGGATAAGGCCAAACACAAGGCTTCAAAAGTATTGTACACATAACCGTCACAATGACTATGTCCATTTCTATATTCAGTCTATGATCACTATTCCCTCTTTGGCTGATATAGTGATCCATGGTCCCTACACACTACAGTCACGGTCAGAGGTTGACTCGTATATAAAGAACATTCAAAGCCTTCAGACTACTCAAGAGTATTTGCAGAGGCTAGATATATAAAAACATATTTCAAACTGTCAGCTGCTACGATCACACAGATTTAAAAAAATGAACATTTTGTCTCCTGATATGGTGTACTGTGGTTATCAAGTTTTGACAAAGTGACTGCAGTGACTTTTTATGCTTTCCCCCTGACAAATACACATGCAACAACATATGCCAAAGATCTTCCACTAATAAGACACTTCCATTGTTTTGTCATTTAAGATTTCTTTCTAGGGAGCAAACATACTTTGCTTCAACAGGGGGAGGACATTTAACAAGTAGAAAATGTGCTTTACTGTGTTAGAAATACCATAAAAATGGCTTTTAAGCTAATATTTGCTAGGAAAGAGTGAGTGTTAACATTTCAGTGTGAGGTGTTTGAAGCAACTGTAACCTCTTTCTTTATTACCAACACTTTCAAACCAAAATCATCGAAGTAGCTAAGTTTCTGTGGTTTCATCAACGCCTCATGAAGCACTTCAGCCAGACTAAACTACTTGACATACTCCTATGCATTTGTCATCCAGGTGTAAATTAGATCAAATAATATATGCACATGGTATTTGCATGATGGACGCACCAGCTGCCTACGATGGGAACAGTGGCTGTCATATGTTCCACATGGAAACTTTAATGGGATCCATTTTCAAAGACTTAATTGAGACTACCTCACTCTAATTACCTGGCATGATGACATTATTATGTAAATGTTAATGTAGCTAGTGACATGTCATACATTACTGTGTCCTTGTCCTGCACAACTCTGGTTCTCACTACGGAGAGAACCTTCACAGTGTGGTTATTCTTCCCTTTAAAGGGCTTTTCATCACGAGCCGACTCCGTGTTAATGCTATTCCCAGCGCCCCGAGTACGAAGGTCAACAGTCTGCATCCCTGGACCTGCTGGGACAAGTTGGCAAACAAAATGAATAAGTAATGCTGTCACTTTACACAGCAAATCGCCCTTAGGAAGGGCACGTAAACCTCATTACCCCAACCTTAACCCCATGTGCCCCAGTGGATCTGCTTACTGGAACCAGTATAGACTGTGGTGGTGTGTGCAGATTTATAATGGGTCGTCATTGACATAGAGCATATGTCTCCTTTTGACAGTCCTTGGTTAAATATGTCCTAAATGAATACATATAGCTGCTGGGACTCAATGAGAGAGTGCATGAACAGAATAAAACAAGTCTGACAGCGCTTTGAAAAAATGACACGCAGCTGCTTTACACTCCTCGCCGTCAGAGTAAAAGACAATACATCAAACTGATCCTCTAGTGTTTGCAGTGCAGCAAGTAATTATTTACACACTTCCACTGAAAAGCCAATATTACATTTCACCATAGGGATATACAGTATGCAAGGGGATTCAATCTAACTGACAGTCATTTTACTCAGATGCAAAATATAAACAGACTCCCCCTGTCGAGAAAAATCAACATGAGCAAACAAATATGCCTGAGGACCAGAGAGGATGTAGCAATGGGATATCAGTCATTGGACCAAGGGGGTTGGGGTTACGTTCGGGGGGAGGTTCAAACCACTCTTCAGCCTTCACAATTATTTATGTTTTAAGGTTATTTTTTTATATAAGCCTTAATTTAAGCGATAGATTTGGGATTGCAGACCTGATTCGAACCTGTGGTTTGAACCTGCGGAATCGAACCTTGGTACATGAGCCCTCAACATAATTACCCTAACTGCACATATGTAGTCTCTGGGTGTTTCTCAATCGCGAGTAAAGCTGCTTCAGAGCCACTATTTCAAGCATACTACGTCATCGAGTGCCGCCAAAGTACTGTTCCAATCTCCAGCATACTTGGAAATCTACCGAGCCCGGCGTACTCCGTTTGGAGAAATATCGAGGCTGCACATGAGTAGACTCCGCGGTCTTAAAATCCCCACAATGCTTTGCGCACGGACCAATTTCCCCAAATCTGTGGCGGAAGATGTAAGGCGGGGCCTCTCATATGACGCACACCTGCACACTTGCTAGCGTGTTCCACACTTCGTTTTCCGAATGCCAGGAAGTATTCTTGACTCGCTTCTGAAGCAAGATGCTCGGCAGACATGTGCTACAAAGCAAGCGTACTCGCGATTGAGAAACACCCTGTGTCTGCATCTTGGAAGGGTGTGCACAATATAAGTTAAACAATGAAATATGACCAATTAATATAATTCCATACATTTTAATAATTTGACGTGAAAAATCTCATGCTTGTATTGCTGGAAACATTACCTGTTGAATAAAAAGGAGATTTATTCACTACTTATTTTTCATTTTGTGGTTGATTTTGTGCTGTTTAGTAAACTTGGCTGTGATATTTGGTGAGAAAAATGCTTGGTAAGACAAAAGAAAACAACCATCTATTTAAATCACTTTCATGTCACTTTCCTTTGGAAAGAACACCTTTCCTTTGGAAAGAACACCCAATTTGTACACATATATACATATTTCACAATACAAATATTCAAATTGAAAGCCACATAAAAATAGATTGTACAGTTAGTGAAAATTACGAAGAAATTTGATTTCAAGTCTTATAGTACAACATAGTTCTTCTGATGTCTAAACTTCATAATGTTGAACAAAAATGAAACATAACATTAACTATTTTTCCTCAGACAATGAACAACTTGTACGTGCACTGCCACACCGCAGTTGTATTTCTTTTGGCAATCAAACTATATAAGAAACACAAAGAGCACAACACTAACTAACTGACTACTACAACTAATGGAAATCATTATTCCAACTCATGCCCCTATTAAAGCCAGTTATTAAAGCCCCTATTGTATTTGAGTTGACATCAGTCTATTTTTCGTTTTAATTGATTGAAGGATGTCACAATACTTGTGTATGGCTGGGAGAGGCAATTGTTGAGGTTTACAAAAAGACACAGTCGGTGAGAGTTCGTTTGAATAAAAATAACCTATTTTCCGAAGCATCATTTTATGTTTTAACATTTTAATATTGCAGTTTTCCAATTTACCCCCTAATGAGAACAATGTCTCTTTATGTAGATGATTCCATAATTTCTTAACCTAAATCTGATTAAAAAAATAAAGAACATAAAACAAGCATGAAATGTACAAAACATGTTTCTGCACCTGTGATATGGTTTACTGCTGCAAACATATAAAAGCTGCAGCCTCTCCGCCCTCATGGCACTCCGTTTGAAAGCCCAGCATTAAGCATATGAACCCTGTCTGGCAGTAAGTGTAATGGATAAATCCCGAGCCTCTCCACCTGCTCCCTCAATGTACTCCTCTCTGCGGGGGAGCGTCAGCTAAAAGCCTCACATGTAAGCAGTGCTCTTCGGTATGCAGCACGTAGTCTCACGCTGGATGTAACACTGTGAGACGAAGGTGTTGAGTGGACCTGGCTGCTCAGCCCGGCTCTGCAGTGGGCTTTGATTAGCGCTACAGCTGCTGCTGCTGTTGTCGGTGTTGGCAGGAAATCCCTCACTAATTTGGCAAATCTCACAAGTGTCTGCTGGTTTCCTCAGCACCCAGAGTAGAGAACATCTCGTCCAGTCTACGCCTATATTTTAACTCTTTTGTCTGCTGATGGGCTTTATGATGCAGTTAAGGAGTGACCTTCCAGAACGCTAAACCAACCAACCAACCAACCAATTAATCTATTTTTATTTATATATCCGCAAAAACACAACGATGTGTTCAGCATACAGCATCCTGTGTCCTTAGACCCTCGTAGTGGAGAACAAAAAACGCCACAAATAAAGGGGAAAATGGAAGAAACCTCGGGAATGTAACTTTTTCGCTAACCTGCTAAAGACCTTTGATTTGCTTGGCATCGGAAAAACTACAGTGCAATCTGTGGTTTGATTATTACTGAACAAATAATGAACACTCCACTCCTATCTTATTTAAGTAACAGGTCAACAAAATGATTTTGAACTCTTGATTTCCAGGACACAACTTATCTCGACAGTCTATTCATGACAAACAAAGGAATACTTTGTAGATGACAAAGAAACTGTGTCTGATCTGTTTGCACGTGTGTGTCTTTCAGAGCCCTACAGCCCAGCGGTGTGGGTGATGATGTTTGTGATGTGCCTGTCGGTGGTCGCTGTCACCGTCTTCATCTTTGAGTTCTTTAGCCCCGTGGGATACAACCGCAGCCTGCAGAGCGCCAAGAGTAAGAGACGGAGTCACTCCAGCGCCGGCACGCCAATCAACCCACTGCCACTGCTCATTTCACCACATTATTACCAACTTGTCACTTTGTCAGTTATGTAAGCGAGGGGGGGCTGATTTGATTTTGGGTGTTTGCTCAAATTATGCAAAGCGCCCCGCGTTTTTTCGCTGCACATGAGTCTAAACAATCACTTCACACCCCCAATCTGGCTTATTTATATTTAATGAAACAAACACTGACAGCGCAGTGATGGTTGACTTTGACATTTGAACAGTACTTGTCAGTTCATCATTTATTCCAAAATGTTTACTGGCTTCCCCTCTGTGCCGACATATTCATTTTGATGCGTCATTTGGAAATGTTATTCATTACTTTCTAATAAATTGACACAAGCGGAATTATATAGATTTGGAGTGACAAGTAGGTATCTGTTCATCACTGTTTGTCAGTTCTAGCTTCTTCTTTGCTAACATACCTCTGCTTCTTCAATCCTAAACACACTGTTTTGACCTATTCTACAAAACTTCTCAGACCAGTTGTGGTAAAAACAGTAAAGAAAAAGCTAAAAAAACGTAAGTAAGATCATAAGCAGAATTTCTTATGGTTCGTTAAATAATTCATAAATAAAAATGAATAACATTTGACCATATTTTACCACTATATAAATTTAAATTAATTTTATTTCAGAAGTAATTATTTTGTAAGTCTATTAATGTAATGTAGGAATGTGAACCTTTTCTAAATAGTTATTATAATCTAACTTTACATTTGTATCACATGAGTAAAATGTAGGTGTTCATGCTACATATGGTGCAGGTTTTACTAGACAATTGACTCAAATCAGTTCAAACAAGTTCATATTATTTTCAAACATGTAAGGATGGCAAAGCTAAAGGAACACAACTTAAGGAGCCATTCACATCTGATATTAAAGATCTCCATACATTGCAACTTTTAATCAGATGACAAACATGTGACACCCATAAAACTCAGCTGAAAGGTCAAATTGTAAGTACATTTAAACTTGAGCTTAAATTGTCTAAACCATATAATTGCACATAAAGGTAAAATCCCAGAACCAGAAAGTGTTGTTTGTTATTATACTAAATAACGTTAGAGATCACTTCACCACTTTTAAATTATCAATGTTTTAGGAAATCCATGTTGGATATCTTTCCTTAGGATACTCCAATTCAATGGTTATGGTTAAGACCGTTTTTTATTAGTATCCTTATAATTATAGTATTTAGCATCAAAATAAAACAAACTGTAGGCTAACCCACTTACTGTGATGGCCTTTTTGTTTTCAATGTTTTTTATGACCAGTTAGCTAAATAAAGCCTGCCATTTGCTTTAAAGATTCTCCCATACCTTTTTTTTTATACATTCTCTTTCATGGCAAAAAAGTTGACAACTCTGGAGATACTTCCAACTCTCATTATTCCCTCCATCTATACTGCACCATTCCCTTGATACCTTCAGACTGTGTTGACTCTTCTTCCAGCCAAAAATATCTCAGCACCTTTCATCTTGAAAGATCAACTGGATCCTCTCCCTGCTCTACCTTGTCTCTCATCCATTTCTCCCTTCTGAGGCTTCACTGATTATTGATTTGAACACAGAGGTCTTTCCTCAGACCTCTGTTAAGCTCCATCTCCCCTGTTTAGAAATTCAACATCAGACAGATCTTAAATCACTTTGGGCAGTATGTTCCTGCTATCACTGCAACCCACCATCCTAATGATATTAACTATAAGGCTTAAAGTATTTAGGCATTATGTAGCTTTGGGCCCATTGTTTTTCATGGTTTAGGCTTGGCATTAGTTCTATCGCTAAGGCATCAACAAATATTCCAGACAAAAGTGGGCTCCATCTGATTGTAACAGCTAGTGTTTGTCCCTCTCTTGTGTCAACATAACAAAGCCCCAGTGCAACAATCCAGTTCCATATATAAATAGTCTTCACACTTTGTTGTGAGCCCTGACATCAACCCCATTCAACACCTGTGGGACAAATCGGAACGCCAACTGGGAGCCGAACGCTATCACCCAACATCAGTGTTAGACCTCACAAATGCTCTTGAAGCTGAATGCATTGAAATCACTATAACCAGGTTCCAAAGAAAAGCTTGAAACCAGAAAAGTAACACGTTAGTGCCTGTTCGGTTTTACTCCCACCGAAAGGGTTGTCTATTGATATCAGACAATGATACTACAGATTATTCAATTATTAATTAAATGTTTCGTTTTGTTATTGCATTCATTTGTATAGTACTGTATCATGTCTGTATCACCTTTTGTTTCATTTGTATTTTCTTTAGTTTTACACGCTCGAAAAAATAAAATAAAAATAAAACAACACAGGGCGTGACCACTCAGCTTTAGTGTAGGATTGATGTTTATTTAATGTGCTCTTCTCCATTCAAAGAAGCATATGGTATCAGAAAGTTAGCTTTTCTGCATACAAATCCATTCAAAGTTAGATTCAAAGTTAGCTTCCTCCATACAAAGTTAAGTTATCAACCTAAGAGAAAACACATAATACACAAATTACATAAAGCATACACAACAAAAGTCTGTCACCATAAACACATATTTAATCCAAACACTCACTGGCTGCCCGTGTGCCCTGTGGCTGATCAAAACATGAGTGACAAACATTTCACTGGCCTTTTTACGATGGCTGACGGTCCCTCATCAAATGAGTCCCAAGGGAAACAAAACAAGTAGCTTAATGCTAAATGATTGAAATAAATAAATAGAAAATAAATTAATAAACAACCAAAATTAACTCCACAGTGCCAATGACAAATAAAATGTTAATAGTGGCTTTTTTATTGGGTTGATTTCGCGCTACGTTTTATTTCTGCCGTGAACCCGGTGCAGTAGCCGAAGAGAAGTCACTGAAAATAAACTTTTTCATTTAGTTATTCATTAATTTGGTCATTCATTCATTGATTTGTTTATACACCACAATGCTATACTGTTAATCCCAGCCGGGCTATGCAAGTCAATACTTTTTTATCCATTTGATGAACCCTGTAGTGTTCGATTATCCACAACACCAGTTAAAAGGGTTCAATACCCAACAAGTGCATTGTATTTGTCTTGTTATTGAGCTTTTGCACCTCAATAGACTTGTTTTTCTAGCTTTAGATTGGATGCTATATGGCCTCCTGCAACCTCTCAGCACCTGTATGAAGCGTACAAAGATTTTTAATTTCCTAAAAACTGGATTTCTCTCCCTCTCTCAGAGTCAGGTGGATCTAAGTTCACCATAGGGAAGTCCGTGTGGCTGCTGTGGGCGCTGGTCTTCAACAACTCTGTGCCTGTGGAGAATCCCAGAGGAACCACCAGCAAGATCATGGTGACCACTCCGCCCGACTCACTCACTGACAAATGACCTGATTGATTAGAAGACTTTAATCTGATTATTTGGAGGGAAACACCTATATTTTAAGATACCCAAGTTTCACATAAGTTATAAACAACTTTTAAATTACTCTATTTCCTCCATTTGATAACAACTTCCCTCACTTTAAAGGTCCCATGTCATGGCCATTTCTACTGATCATAATTCCATTGTTGAGTTCTACTAGAATAGATTTACATTGTTCAATGTTCCAAAATCACATTGGTTTTCTCATACAGCATCTCTGTATAGTATGTGTATTCACTCTCTGTCCTACACGCCTTGTTGGAGCTCCTGAAAAAAGATAAAGGCTGAGTGAGTGTGTGTGTGTGTGTGTGAGGAGCTCTGCGGATTGGTCCAATTGGACCAGGGTATCGTTACGTCACTATACTCAGGAAGAAAAAAATTGAAAAATAAAAATCTCCAACGAGGCGTTCTGGGGCAGCATAGACAGGTATTTTCTGTGTTAGAGTTTTACTCGCTACAGGGTGTACTTTGAGGGTTTGTGACTCTGCAGACCGTTTACATGCAGGACAAGCTACATAACACACAAGGGGACGGGTAATAACCGGAAAAGCATGACATGGGACCTTTAAAATTGACTTCAAATAAATGTACATGTACACTGTAGATCATCATCCACTTTCCAATCAATTGAGATTAGTAAATAAACTGATCACCACAATATATCATAAGCAACTTAAAGTGGACCTATCATGCTATATTTAAATGATATATTGTAGGGCCATACCTATATAAGGTATATTTATACGTTTCTGTTTTCAAAATACCAAACAGATCATGCATTTTAGCCATGCCTCATTTCGCTCTATTTGCTGTTCTCCAGCCCTGTTTTTGCAGGGGGCTGATTCTGTGAGCTGCAGCTGACCACGCCCCCCTGCAGGAGAGGGGAGCCGCTCTGATCAAGTCAGAAGAGGGGGAGAAAAATAGATCTCCGTCCTCCGTGTTTTATTATAGCCTATTATTATATAGAGTCGTTATTCATTTGTTTTAAAGCTCAATAAATAACAAAGAAGACCTTTGACCGGCACTTTTCTAATTTTGTCCGGAAGATTTAAACTTTAACGGACATCTTGACCGGCGAAAGAAACTGAAACTGAAACTCTGCCGCACGGTCCCCTCGTTCCTTGGAAGAGGCGGAGAGGTGGGTGTTTGTCATCTGCTGGTGGACTAACCGGAGAGAATTACAGTGCTTGCCTCGACGAGGAGGGATTGCATTGAATTAAAGCAGCAGGAGCAAACGCTTGCCTCGGGGAGGGAGAAAAAAAGGCACAGTGGAGAATAAACAGAAGGGTAACCATGGTAACTATGGGCGGGAAGTCTTCTTTGCTGCTTTTGTGGCAGACTACAGCGCCACTTACAGGCCTGGCATATGTACTACAGCGTCTCCAGCGCTTTCGAGCGGCAATGGCCGGCCGTGGCCCAACCCCACATTCCCCTGATAGGTGGAGAGTTGGCCCAATAGCCGTAGCGCCACCGTCCTGACGTCAGGACAGTGTTCAAATCTGGATCAGTTTTTATCAGATCCGTTGCAGCCCCTTTTTTTTTAGATTTGGGTATGGAGGAAAATAGAGAGGGTTGTGTTTTCTTACACTTGGTGAGTTCCCTGGAACACCGGGGACACATATTCATGTATAAAAGACGTACAAAAGTGCATTTTGCATGATAGGTCCCCTTTAAACTGTCCCTTAGATTTAGCCTATTTAATTAACAAATGTAGGGGTTGAATGATTGATTAAAACATTTATTGTATAAATAAAATTGTAACACAATTTTTTTTTTCTTATTCTTGACTTTAATTCTGGAGGTTTTCTTTAGCCTGTTTCACAACTCTAATTTGCATTATTATCACAACGAAGTTGAAACATATGAGTAATATGAGGCTGTGCAATCAGTTCGGAAGTGTTTATTCACTCGTTTCCCTGCTGGTGGTCTTTTTAATACCTGCTGTTACACTGTGTCCCCACGACATAAAAAGGAAATCAGTTGAAGGCTTGCCCTCTCTGCCGCAGAGCAAAGAGCCACAGGAGGTGAAAAAGTGTCTCTTTTCCTTTTCACTCGCTGCACGAGTGCTTTTCACAAAAAGCCCAATCATCTCAAGAGCTCATTATGAACTCAATAGGTTTTTTTTTCTAAACAGGGGTGGGGGGGGGGATACTTTTTTAAATGTTTATCAAAAAATGTACTTTTTAGCTAACCGTTTGTCTTTTTGCCACATTGCTGTGTAGATCAATGGTCTTGCAGTAATTTTATCCAACTAGTGTATAGGTATTTTCTGAAATATAAAGAAGAGAGAAAATAATAATCTGATCCTTTTTCAAATCACATCACCGTTATATCATATCAGACAACCACACCTAACCACAAGCAAAACAATAAATGAGAGTATACATTTCTCTTAAAAGGCTAATTCCCTAAATTACTTCCATTATTTTTTGACATTTTCATACCTTCATAGGCCTGATCAAGGACATAAGTGTGTATCCCACTCTATATATAATTGAGAATCCTGTGATATATGGTAGGTATTGTACATTAAAGGTTAATATGTTTTGGATCTGCCCATGGGGTCATGCAACTCACCAGGTAGCCATTGTAAGTGAGGAGTTCGTCCTCCAACTCTTCTGTTAGGACACATCCTCCAGCCGAGCACTTTTGGCATAAATACAGAGTACTGAAGAAACAAAGTACATCAGTGACTGAAAGTGCAAATTTAGAGCTAAAACTAACCAGAATCTTTGACTTTCTTTCTGGCTGAATGTCCACAGTGCAGCATTATGCAGCAATGAAAACAGCACGTCGGCAAAGTTCAAGGTCTTTACATCACGTCCTCCAACAACCTTTCAGAGGATATTTTGTTTGCGTTACAGTTATTTGGTTAAACAGTTTCATCAAGTTGGGTTAGGGTTAGGGTTAGATCTAAAGTACAAATGGGAAATGTACTTAGATATTTTACTTAAAAAGCACTACCATAATTAGAAAATACTCATTTTTGTATCCTTTTTATTTATTGAGTTTGTTAACAGATGCCCTTCGCTCATACAAACTCATGTATTAACATAAAGTATGGGTATCAGAAAAAGAAGAAACAAAAAGTTAATTACAAAAGAGAGGGTTTCATCCCTGCAATTCTATTCTATTCTATTCTATACACATACACACACACACACACACACCTATACCCATGTTCATATGTATATATATATATAAATATAGGGTTATATATTTATGAACACACATACGCACATACAGTACACAGAACTGAAACAACTAGTGAAGAAAAGGAAAATAGTTTTGGCCCTAATAAAAAAGGAAACATAAAATCAAATAGTCTCTAAAATACTCCTTATCATGTTCTCAAAGGTACAGGTGTCTTATATGCTATTATAAGCTTTAGCAGCAATATAACAAATAGGGATGCATTAATGCCTAATCAGGTGAAAATGTCAGTTGTCCTATTTGTTTGTATTGGATGGTGCATTGAGGCTGCAGTTTAAAGAGAATCAACTTTTGAACACTTTAACACTACAAGCCTGCACTCATTTTCATACATACATACAAATATAAATACTAAAACAATTAAAAACATGCAAATACAATATAGTGCAAATTGACAGGTAGCAGAGAATGAAGAGCATACATAATAAAAGAGAGCACATAATATGAAACAGAAACTGTTCCCTGATGCGGTCCATCTGTTTTCAATGTCTGTATGGCATAGGGAATAAAAGTCTTCTTGCTTTTGTGATTGATTTGGTCCCGAAAGCCAGACAAAAGCAGCTCCAACTATTTTATAAAAGTGGATGTGAAGTTTCTGCAGTTATTTGTTTAGCTTTCCTGTGAACATCATTGTCGAATATGTGTGTTTTTCTGCAACTTGCCAATTACTTTTGCTGCAATGCTAACTCCCTTGGAGAAATAGTGTTCTGCTCTTTGCACCATGCCATGATGTGATGTTAAATGGTAAAATGCTTTCGACCAGGCTTCTGTATGCTACGTCAAGTATGTGTAGACTTTCGCTAAAGCTCCTCAGATTCCTGATTAAACACAAGCGCTGATTGGCTCTCAAATCTGGTCCCATTAAAAATTAATGATGTAGGTATAGGAGGGGGGGATGATTTCCTCGCAGGCTATTACAACGTGTCACTTTGTGATCATTATAAATATAAGTAAGAAAAGGACTAATTCCGCAGTTGCAGTGACGTCTTTTTATGTTTCATGTAGACTAATTCGACTCTGCCCTCCAGGCATGACAGAGCATCAGCTGTGGGTCTAGCGATGAAATGCCAAGAAGTGCAAAAACAGTGTCACTGAAATCTAAGAATACTTCCACACCTGTCACACTCAGCCCTTATTGATCTCAGTACTCCGCACCCCTCCTTCAGGTGCTGGTGTGGGCCTTCTTTGCTGTCATCTTCCTGGCCTCCTACACTGCCAACCTGGCTGCCTTCATGATCCAGGAGGAGTACATCGACACGGTGTCAGGGCTGTCGGATAAGAAGGTGCGTTCTGGAAGGAATGGTTGGATGAACTGGGTGATTGATGGATGAGTGCTTAAACAGGTGGATGGCCAGATGGATTGATAAAAAAACAAGAAATTGAGCTTAGACATGACTCAGAATGACGTGTCCTTTAAATAATGTTAATTTTAAGAAGTACACAGTAGCAGATGAGAGATCAAAAATGAGATCATCCTATGTAGCTTGTTCTCTTTCATTGAATAGTTTAAGTTAACAAAGGAATGAAATTCTTCTTAGAAGTGTTCCCTCTCTGTCGCCTCTTACCTTTTTTCTCAGTGCAATTTCACTGTATATATAACCTTATTTTTCAGACTGCCCCCACAGCTCTTGTAGCTGACAGGCCTTTCTTTCAAAGTGAAGACTTTGAATGCGAGAAGCAGTTAATCCTGCGGCATGCAGCGATCCGCCTCCCTCCACATCTTTACTTACTCTTCAAATTCCTTCTATCGCTTTAATCTTCGCCCACCTCCCTTCTTCTCCTACAGTTCCAGCAGCCGACGGAGCAGTACCCTCCGCTGCGTTTCGGAACAGTGCCAAACGGGAGCACGGAGGAGAACATCCGCTCTAACTATCCCAACATGCACCAGTATATGATCCGCAACAACCAGAAGGGGGTCGAGGAGGCCATCGAAAACCTCAAGACCGGGTAAGGAAAGGACAAGAGAGGCATAGGTCTTGTTCACCATGGGGACATTTCCTTACCATTTTTTGAAATGGCTGACGTTGTCCTTGTACATTTTTCTGAAGATAATTTGTAAAATGAATGTCTGTAAAAAAAACGTCAACAAGACATTTGAACAAATTTCATTTTATAAATGTTTATTTGCGCAATAAGAAAACATAAAGAGCAATACAAAAATGAAGTAAATGAACATGCAATCTCACAAGCTAAACCCCCAGCTTGCTCATTATAAAATGACCAAAAATCATGCATGCACTGATCAGTAACTTTAACCATTTCTAGACATAATTACTTACTGAACTATTTTTCCAATCTTGGTCATTATTCACTCTAACCTCATTCCGACCCATCATTATATTGCCTGAAAGTGTATATGTTGAAGACCTTCAAAACATTTTCGGACCCCCTATGTCCCCACCACTTTTTCCACGAAAAATGGCACTCTTGAAAAGTGGCAACGGGAAAAGTGATACAAAAGAAAGCGAACATAGGGGGGGGGGAAACATTTGAAATGAAATAACTTCTCAAAAAGAGGAAGCTAAAATGAGTGCCAGTGACAGAATATTTACATTGTATTTTGAAAAAATAAATGTTTTGTCTGTTGCTTTACATATAAAGATGGTTGACAAAGTAAGGCAGGCCTGAAAGTAAGGCAGCAAAAGGAGTGCCTTAAGTGGGGGACATTTTCCTGACAGAGCCTGCGTCCACTCGTTGCCTTAGAGAGAATGGTCACTGCAAATGAATACGAGATTCTGCAGAGGAATCACTTTATCCTATCATGATCAAACGTGTCTTTCTTGATGGGTGGAAATGCTTCTAGGAGGATTTCTCACTTATCTGCTGAGCATGGAGAGTCATTGAAGAGTCTGACGAGGATTTACAAAGGTGTGAATTATAAGCTTTGGCCTTTAAAGTCACCAAACCTCAACTCAGCAGAACACACATACTGTATGGGAGATTTTGGAGACACCCAATCATACGATATTTTCTTTTAAAGAAAAGTGTTATTTTCTTCAGTAGAGGTCCACCCCCAGACTTGGAGAATGAATGTCAAGGAGCACTGCTGTTCTGCAGACTCAAGGTGGACTACCACCTTGCTGAAAGACTTTTTGAAACCTGTCTGTAGTCCAAAACACAAAGGCAGTAGGTCATTTGAGTTTTAAATGGCTCCCTGAGGAGGACAAAATAAACTTGCACTGGATTGCCCTGCATGTATCTCTTTGAGTTGATGAGGATTGAAACATTTGTAGAATTTGAAAAACAGTCACTTCAAAAGACAGGTTTGGATTGGTCATTAGACAAAATTGAGTGTTGTGCAGCAGGCTCGAGTGCAACAAAGTGAAAGACAGTACTTTTGCAATCAGGAAAAGGCCGAATAGGTATACAGGAGGCAAGAGTTCACTGACTGCAAGCAATCAGGCTGTATCCAAGTCTAAGTCATCCACTGTCTACATGCCTGCTGCTCTACTTTCAACATATACCTCCTTTTCTCTTTGGCCTTTTATTTTAACATGAGGCAAAGCCACCATCCTCGCCTTGTTCCTATTCCCCTTTTGTCTTTTCAACCTGTTAGCACATTGTTCTTCCTCGCCTCAGGAGCGCCAGCTAACTGTTGTAACCTGTGCAACCCCATGGAGGGAAAAAAATAGAAGAACTTTTAAATAATACATGCTAGCAGCCGCCGCAGTGCAGGGGGAAAATCCCGCAATCTCAGCACTTGCTGCCACTCAGGCGCTGCTTGTCTTTAACAAGAGGGGGTGGGGGGGTTTATTATCCGTCTGCAGGGCCACAGAGTACACAAGGCACTTGCCATAAAATATACACTTGCTCATCATGTTTAAGGTGGCAGGGGATTGATGCAGATAAAGGGGTTCAATTGTTTAATGGAACAAGCAAACATACGCTTTTGCACAAGCAGCGACCGCGGCCCTTAGGCGATTTGACGTAGCGTGTTATTAAAACTCCCATGATGCATTTATTTGTGTCATTCTTAGTCATTCGCCTTGTTCCTCTTACATCAGTTTCTAGCTCTGTCTATCTCAGTCTCTTCAGCACCTCGCTCATTATCCGCTGTTTATCTCCGTTTTGTCATTTTGCTTTCTTCCCGCCGCTCTGAAATTATTTACGAAGGAAACGTTAGTCACCACCGTCAAAGCAAAGCGGTTTGAAGATTCCGGTTTGATTCGGTTGCGGTGCACCAAACATCACCTCTCCATCTCTGTCTCGTCTTCCTCTACTAACTCCCTTTTTCTCACACTAATCCCTTTCTGTCTCTCTGGCCTGTTCCTCCTCCTTCATTAACTCCTTCTGCTTTTCACTTGCTTCCCTCCTCCCTTCCATTCCCTCTCACCCACCTCCTCCCCTTCTGCAACATCAACCCTCTTCCATCCTTCACCACAGTCTCTTCTCCTCCTCCTCATCCTCCTCCTCTCTTTTCAGGGAAGTCTTAGTGCAGCTTCCCAAGACTGAATATAAATGATAGTGAAGTAGAAGAGCAGGTGTAGTTACAAATCCATCATCAGATCCTGTGATCTACATCATCATTCTGAGCTGAACTGTTACATCCAATCCATTACTTTATGATAAAGTCTTTTAGCTCACTTCAGGCCTACAACCACCCCATCCCAATCTGTCTTTTCTGCTTCAAATTCAGCGGGGGGAGTTCAGCAGCGGCTACTTTTTTTCATTGAGTTACATCTGTTTCTTACATTCCAATAGCTACTTAATCGTTTCTTTTTTTAAACACATTCTTTTTGGAGCCCAACATCAAGTACTCAGATTGTTTTATGTTGACCTACCAATGATCAAAACCCAACAATATTAAATATACAGTGATACAAAACAAGGAAATGCTGCACAGCCTCATATTGATGGACACAATTTAAGCAATGACTATCAGATTACTAAAATTCCGCGATAATAACATTTTGTTTACGGATGATATTATATTTTTCCCAAACTTAGCTAAGAGGGAAACACTCCAATGTCTTCTAGGTAATGTTCAGAGTAGGATATTGAGGTGAAATTCTAATGTCCATGGTGTATCTAACTTGACCAAAGGAATAGCATAATGGTAAAAAAACGAGTGTCAAATGGCTGAACATTAGGGCTGGGTGATAATATAAATACATACAAATAAATTGTGGTAATATATTAATGACTAGAGCAATTTTTATTTCTAGATTTAGGATGTTATGAAGGTTTAAAGTGCATAATGCATAACTGTAAAACACAATTAACAAATATTTGCATTTGTGTGCAATTTGTAATAACTATATTTTGAAATGTATGAACTCAAGTGTTTTCGCCTACAACAATAAGTGGCATAAGTACAGTGCTCTTATAAGGCCCAGAAGGGAGACTTTCTTTCTGCTGAAACAAATTGACTCTGTGCATCAGCATCACCCCCCCTGCTGCTGCATGGTACTCTGCTCTGCTGAGGCTACTGCAGGAGTACAATTGACATCTCTGCCTCGGCTGTGATGAATAACTCTCTATGCGTATGTTGACTGTTAGTGCAAAATAGTGTCGATAAAGCAGTTCCTCTGGCTTCAGTGTATGTTTTCTTTTTAGACGGTCACTGTCTCTGCGTAGGTTTATCCATCATCGCTGTCATATTGTTCACTAGTTGCACCTCCTCTGTTGTGCTTAGCTCCAGGTCAGGGATTTCCATGTCTCTATTGTAATTTTCCTCCCTTCTCCCTTGCTCGCAGGAAGCTGGATGCCTTCATTTATGATGCTGCTGTGCTGAACTACATGGCCAGAAAGGATGAGGGCTGCAAGGTATAGATCTCTGTCACATTTCACAGCTCTGCACAGTGACACACATAGTGGCAGCTATTGTTGATGTCCCCCTGCCCTGCAGCTATTATCATTTGCTACTAAGCTACTATCTGCTCTTCTTAAGGGAGGAACAGTTGCAAACCAGCATGCCTAAAGAGCTCTTTTACAAGCGCTACATCTGCATTAAATAAATCAAACACGCCCAATGCATTTATATTATTCCCTTGCTGCCTATAGCAACTTAATATTGTCATTTTTCGGACTGTGCCGTTGTTGATTTATTTATAAGTCTGCATTTGATGCGACTCCCTTGGCAGAAATGAAATCCTGCCCTGTGATGATTTGTAATAAGATCTGCGTGAAGCCTGAGCTCCAAGCAGCATCACACAACAACCACTGCTGCAGTAATTATTCAAACTGATGTCGATTTATATTAATTCCTCCACTGAAACAATACCCAATGCACAAGCTCTGGGATTTGTGGGTATATTAGAGCTGAGCCAACTGTTTTGCATGAAATGCCACCGCAGAAATTAAGCTAGTTTTCATTTGTTCCATGCCATCTGTCGCTTTGAATCTGACTCTGTCTTGTTTGACCATTGTAACTGCTGTGCAGTCCAGACATACTGATAAAATAGGGCCTCTAACTAATTACCTTAAATAAACTCACTAATTAATGAAACCAGTTCAATACGCATTATTCTTATTCTTATAAATCTTTATGAGCGCAGTAACGGTAAGGTTTTACCTTATTTAGTATTCCATAACTTAATAACAGAGATGGTCAAACTAAAGTGGTATAGACATGGCAGAAATCCTACAATGAAGCGGGACATTGAACTGTTCACCCGTGAGAGGGCGATCAAGAAAAGAGAGCGGGGCCGCTTTTACAGATGAAAAGACACAGAAAGACAGAAGCACATTAACAACAAGTAAGCTATATTTAGGTGTTTTTTTGTAAATAACCGACGGTATCAAGAGGAAGTAAAGTCCCCTTGTTTGTCCCTTATACCCTAACTGCCATGAGACAACTCAAAATCAAGTTTCCAAAATCCGACACTGAGGTGGTCTTAATGCACCGGTGTTACCGAATAAGATGTGGGACGAACAACTGGTAATATTCTATTATTTTAGACAGACGTATCAGGGGCGTGGCCTTTGTCGAATAACCAGGAAATACACATTTCGATCGCTTCTTCTGTCGTTTACATTAATCTTTTGGTATATTTGGCTGGATAGGAACACTTTGATGCACATTCAGTACCAGTGTGTGAGGTTGTGGTTGCGATGCCGATATCCGGACGCGTACAGCGAGGACTACAAAAAGACACATGAGGTGACTGGGGATGTGTGTGCAAAACATTGCAAGCTTGAATAAATCATTTAAACCATTTATTTTTGCCAGACTTATTACTGAATATCATTCTTAATGTGATACCAAGTCCATCTGAGACCTGTGTATACCTTCAGACAGCCTCCAAGTGAAGCACACGTTGTTTACTCACAGTTTGAAAGCAGCGTGGAGAAGTCGTCAGCTGTGGAGCTGTGATCCGCCCAGGATAACTTGTGATACAAGTTGTCAATCTTATATTTGTATCATATATCGTTATTAATATGATGTCGAGTTGATTTGAGACTCGTTTATACAGTACTTTCATAGAGTCTGTTAGTGAAACATCCAGTCTGTCTGAGTTGTTTACACCCATCTCCAACGCAGCGTGGAGAGCTGTGGTAAACTGTGATCCGCTCAGATTAAACTGTGATACGACTTCTGTGGCTATCAACCAGCGATCATGTTTAATATTAAAGACCACACATTTATCGATTATCAAAACGGTATTCTGCACTTTGCTGCACTTATCCAGATAAAATGTGACTGTTTACTCGTTTTGCAGATAGAAGCAGAAATGTCATTGCTACATGTGCAGGGATATTTAGAATTTAAAATGCTGCTTGATCGTTAATTTTGTTCTCGGCAAACAATATTATGAATCCTCTATTCAAAAATATTATTCAGTGTCCATCGACATGAAAATAACAAAAAGGTTCAAGCTGGACTCAAACCCGAGTCCCAATAGCAAAAATCCCTCGTGCCATGCCGTTATGAGTGTGCCACGGATCAGTACGATGCAATCTGTCATCACAGCTTATTTTGTCACATTAACATTGTTGAAAGAGTCAGAACAATTCAACCCGACCATCTTTTATAATGTGAGCGAATGTATGTACACTTTAAGCCATATAATATAAATATTATAGTAGGCATTTGCTTTAAAATAGTATATACTGACTGAGCATCATTAAGACCCACCCACCGAGATCAGATATCCTAGTTGATCAGCCTGCGAGCCTACACTACATTGTGATAAGTGGTCATTTTACGTATTATGTATTCTAGTCAGAGGTGGGAGTAAGTCCTACATGTGCAAGTCATGAGCAAGTCTCAAGTCTTGACCTACAAGTATCAAGCAAGTCCCAAGTCACTGTGGTGAGAGTCAAGCAAGTCAAGTCAAGTCATTGCTCAGGTCAAGCAAGTCAAGTCAAGTCATACGAAATTCTGATGAATAAGCCCAGTTTCCGCATTTAAATCAGTTAAAAGACAGTAGTTATGAAAATGGATTTAACCCACACTATGATCTTCATTGCATACACAGTTAATCATTTGAAATCTAATTTAGACCGATGACAATCATATTAGATTCATATTAACCCTAGAACTGCAGACAATATAGCTAGGACTCAATCAAAAAGTCTGTTCAAAAAGGCAGAATTCCAGGTAAGAAAATCATATATGGCATTTGCCATTACACATATTTAAATTAAATGTATGTTAACACTAGAACCGCCTCAGCGTCAGCACCTACATAGATATCATTTTCAAATCATTTAATTTGTTCCTCTTCATAATTTCCTTATAAACTAAGTAGGACGATGTAAAACTCACTTAATTGGGTTAATTTAGAAATTGCTTCAGTTTATCATCATAACAGATTAAAAAGTTCAGATTCATTTTACAATAAATCAAGGAATTGAAAACAAAAACAACATAATTAAAACATTTAAACAAACGACTAAAAGTAGATGAACTACATTATTCAACAGTTTACAGTAACTTCTGATAATAACACAGGGGAAATAAACGAGGCATCTCTTTTCCTCTCTCTCTCCCTCTCCTGACAGCCCGTCAGTATCGGGGTTAGTCAAAATGAATCCCTTGGCGGTTCTAGTGTTCATTTACCGTTTTGTCTTCTCTTTGCAATGCTTAATCGATTTGAAACCAAGTCTAACGTAGCTTAAACTTAACGTTAGCTTTCTAGCTAACACAACACATTCACGCACCTTTCTCTGTGGGTTTTTTTGTAGTGACGAATGAAGTTGGATGTTGTGGTGGTCGTGTCACTGATCTTTATGCTGCAGACCCTGCATACCGCTGTTCTCTTCTTTTTAGCGTCATCAACAACATAATCCTTGAATCCAAACTTCACTATTTTTGGAGTAACGCTAGCCGCTGCCATGTTAACTGACGCTCCTGCAGTCTAGTGGGTTGCCAGGTTTGTGCGCACGGCGCTATAATCACCCAATCACGTTTTTCGAAAAAACTAAACGTAATATCTCACTACAAAAACAAACGCAAATATTTAATTTTAAACAGTCAAGTCCTTTCAAGTCATCTGTCTCAAGCTTAAGTCAAGTCTCAAGTCATGAATACCAAGTCAAAGTCAAGTCAAGTCTTTTATCAATGTTAGTCAAGCAAGTCTCAAGTCAAAAAATATGCGACTCGAGTCTGACTCGAGTCAAGTCATGTGACTCGAGTCCCCACCTCTGATTCTAGTGCACACATTAAGTTCAAATATGCAAATCAGGCCATGTGTTTCGTTATGTAGCTATCATCACCTGTCATGGAAATTTAACAATAACAAGGAATTAATATTAATATTACCAAGTTACACAGAAATAGATGAAAAAGTATGAATATATGTGTTTCTAGCTCTCAACGTAGCCTATGTGAGTACCCTCGTCATTCGGTGTCGATGCATAACGAAAGTTAACCAAGTAAACAGTCACATATTATCTGGATAAGTGCGGCAAAGTGCAGAATACCTTTTTGATAAGGGATCAATGTGTGTAGTCTTTAATATTAAACATGATCGCTGGTTGATAGCCACAGAAGTCGTATCACAGTTTAATCTGAGCGGATCACAGTTTACCACAGCTCTCCACGCTGCATTGGAGATGGGTGTAAACAACTCAGACAGACTGTATGTTTCACTAACAGACTGTATGGAAGTATAAACGAGTCTAAAATCAACTCAACATCATATTAATAACGATATATGATACAAATATAAGATTGACAACTTGTATCACAAGTTATCCTGGGCGGATCACAGCTCCACAGCTGAAGACTTCTCCACGCTGCTTTCAAACTGTGAGTAAACAATGTGTGCTTCACTTGGAGGCTGTCTGAAGGTATACACAGGTCTCAGGTGGACTTGGTATCACATTAAGAATGATATTCAGTAATAAGTCTGGCAAAAATAAATGGTTTAAATTATTTATTCAAGCTTGCAATGTTTTGAACACACATCCCCAGTCACCTCATGTGTCTTTTTGTAGTCCTCGCTGTACGCGTCCGGATATCGGCATCGCAACCACAACCTCACACACTGGTACTGAATGTGCATCAAAGTGTTCCTATCCAGCCAAATATACCAAAAGATGAATGTAAACGACAGAAGAAGCGATCGAAATGTGTATTTCCTGGTTATTCGACAAAGGCCACGCCCCTGATACGTCTGTCTAAAATAATAGAATATCACCAGTTGTTCGTCCCACATCTTATTCGGTAACACCGGCAGATGACAGCGCTGACAAAGTGTGTTTCCCGCAGCGAGACGCTACAATACTAATTGTGGGCTTATCATGTTGATTCGGCCACAACAGAAAAAAAAAAAAAAAACTCTCGCTCTCTCCAGAGGGGCAGGTCAGCCAAAAGGCCAAACGGGCCGTTGCCCGGGCAACATTAGCCCGTACCTGTGCACGTCCCTGCTAATGTGTTTATGATTTATTCTACAAGGTGATGACTATCGGCTCAGGGAAGGTGTTTGCCACCACGGGCTATGGAATCGCCCTGCACAAGAACTCCCGCTGGAAACGACCGCTGGACCTGGCCCTGCTGCAGCTGGTTGGAGACGGTAAGACAGGATGAAGCGGGTTAGGGCCACATGCTCTGGAAATACACAATACCCCTGCAACAAATACATACAAAGACAATAAAACGATTAGTTAGTGAAGTCCCATGTTGGCCATTTTTATCTTGTAGTTAATACTTTTTTCTGACATGTCAGACAGACAATTATTTCATGTCTTTCAGAGGTGGGAAGTAGTGAAGTAAAAAGTATTTGTTACTGTACTTAAGTAAATGTTTCTGGTACCAGTACTCCACTTATTTTTCTGAAGACTTTTTACTTTTACTTCTTACATTTTTAACACAAATACCCATACTTTCTACTTCTTACATTTTCAAAACAGGCTCGTTACTTTAGTTTTAATCTGTGTTTGGTGGCGTGATCATTATTATTTAGAGTCATTACGTGCCTATTGATTTTAACACAATCTGTGTATCCATAATTTCCTGGTCTTCTCTAAAGAAGAGGGACCAATGACAACTTTGTAATTTTGCCGTTGTTCAGCTTTGAAACATTCATTAGCTAACAATTACATTATTGTTCTATTAATATAAAGGGAGGTCAGTTACTCTTTAAAACAGATGGTAGTTATGGGTACTTTTAACTTTTACAGTACATTTCGAAGCCCATACTTCTGTACTTTTACTTGAGGAAAGAAGTTTAGTCAGTACTTATACTTTCACCAGAGTATTTTTAAACACGAGTATCTGTACTTCTACTCGAGTAAAGGATGTGTGTACTTTTGCCATCTCTGATGTCTTTTTTTCAATAAAGAAACATTTATTCTGATGACATCCCATTATTCATGCTTTCTCAAACAACCTCTTTAGATTGGAATATATCACCACCTCCCGTAACATATAGATGCAATTGTCTCCATGAAGTACATTTTGTAATCTGCCCAAAATCTTAAAGTTCAGAGCGGCCACATGCAATGGTCATAGGATTTCAACACAAGTGATTGTCTTGTATGTTGACTTCTTTTAACCACACACAATATTTATTATGGGACATTTTTGGAAGGTGAGTATTTTGTTATCCATGTAATCCTTTCTTAATGGGGAAATATTTTGTTTATTCACTTGGTAAGCTGTGCTCATTTATCACAAAACTACTTTTACCTAGTTGGAGGAAGAGACAGAGGTCCAGTGCAAAGAGGCAAGTTATATTTGAAATAAAAATATAAGTTTGTCATGTGATCACGTATTCAGCTGCTGGCTAAAGTTGCCTGCCCTTGTTATAGTAGTGAAATATTTTACTATTGTAAGAATTAAGGAAACCAACAACAACTCAAGTAAGAATAGACAACATTTTCAAAATCAATGTTGGCAAGGTCTTTGGTATATTTTACAAGTAAGATGTAATACAGCTTAAGTTCAAAGTTAGGTAGGAGTCAAAGATGGGAAAGAGGGATGGAAGAGGACAAAAGTTATGAAAGGGGAGAGATGGAGATCAATACAGGAAGGTTAACGGGAGGAAGAGTAGAACAAAAGAGGAAGGCTGTGTGAAATGTTAAAGCTGTCATAATAGTAACACTGCTATGTGCATTCCAATACCTATACTACCGTACTTAATGTCAGAAAATATTTGGCATGGCTCTATACAGAGTATGTCAAAAGCAGTGTGCAAATGCCAGTAGGCATTTTTTCAGTATGACAGTAAACAGGCGTGCTTTTCTGGCCCACAATATTTGCGAAGGGTCATAATGATTGGTTCCTCGTTGAAAAAACAATGCAACAAAGACAGAAATAAATGTTGTTTTATTAAAGCATTTAAAGGTCTAATGTTGTTTGCGTAGCTTACTTCTAAAACAAAAGTTATGTTTTGATTATATTTGACTGAAATGCTTTCCACCATTTACGCCGGTAACAATTATTGAATAGATCAGGAGCAAGAGAGGCATGATGAATCACTTTCACTAAGTGACCCTTATGGGTCACAGTAAATTGGTTTTCAGTTCAAAAGAACCTTCAATAATAACATAATAACCCTGTTCATTTGCTTAGAATGGCAGAAAGGCCTTTTAGCTTCTGCTGGCTTCAGTGCTCAGTAAGGATAGAAACATTGATACAAAAAAAGGAAAAATCTAAATTGATCTCTATTTCAATGCATCACAAATCTTGCTACTTTATTTAACAACATTTATAAATGAAAAGTGTACATAGATGAGTATGTTTAAGTGCACTCTATCATTCATATATACAGTACAATATATTGAAAAACTTAAGTGCTTATCCTGTTTTTTTAATACTCTCATTCTATTAGAAAGTGTTCGGTTTAAAAAACAAATACAATCTACATCTGTCCTTTATTCATGTTAAAACCCCACCACGATAATGTTACATTAAAAAATGGAAATGAAAGGAAAAAGTGTAGGAATTGAAGGAAACAGGAGGAAACTTAAGTTTCTTAAATGCACCACCTCTTTTCACCCTCGGTCAGAAACCAGAGTCCGATCTGCTCTGATTGGTTAGCTGGCTGGCTCTCTTGTGATTGGTCCAATACTCAGAGATGACCCAACCCTCACGTACAATGTGTTGGAACACTATAGCCAATGGAAGCAGCGAGTGTTACGTAGACCAATTATTCATAAACATGTAATCAAAATGTCTATAACTTAATGGTTTGATTCTGCAAACTGTCTTTTAATTGTAAACTCTTTCTGGTGGAAACGTTGGGATTTTCGGGTTAGGGCAGGCTATTTACATAAATAAATTACAATACAGAAAATGGAAAACCCAAAAAGCATAATAGCTCCCTTTTATCACTGAAAACAAACAAAAATGAAAGTGAAGCTGTGCAAACTAACAACCCAAGTTAAATGGAAATCAGGAAATTTTTAGCCTCAGAGTCAAATCATGTTCTGATATTTCCTGGTGAAAAGTTGAACAAATATAACTCTGTTGCTGAAATTCAATAGAAAGTATTAATCAACTGGACAGCACTGGAGGACCAGCTGTAAATTGCCTATTACCGTACATTTTTGGCTAATACTGTTTAGACTGATTGCGCCCTCCAAATTGTTCAGCCAGAAAAGTCAATAGTGAGCCACAGGAACCTCATAACCAACCCCACAGACATCACATGCATTTACTATTCAAAGCAAATGCACTATGGCCCTCAAAAGGTTCTGTAATTGTTCAGCATTATACCTCTCTTTGTTAGAGCATCGTCGTTTCTTTGTATAGCAAATGAATGGTCAGTCGCCAAATTGAGTTCTCTGGGGAGCAATTTAGTCTGTTCGCAATTAGCGAGGCTTGATAATCGAAGTGGAAGACGCCTCAGAGCAGGCAGTGACAGCGGCTCCTAGGGGTCGCGATACTGAACATTTTCAGACTAACTGTTAAATTGATTTAGGGGTGGGGGTCTTAAAAATAATCATCAGTATTTTTAATAGGGTGACACTACAATCACAGAATTGTTTGAAGGATAGATCTTTTTTTAAGTATTAACGGTGACTTATCATGCTTATTTCCAGGTTCATACTTTTATTATGGTTTTGACAGTTTGCCAACTTTATAACCTCCGAAAGTCAACAAGCGCTCCGGTCCCAGCTGTGTGCACCCCCCAGCAGTTACTATCGGTTTAGGTCTTTTTATTTTGAGCTTCTAACCCCCACATCAGCTAAAACATTTTTAAAAAAGGGTCTAGAGTAGATGCACAGCAGTATATTTTTTTTTCACAAAATAAACCTTTTGAAGATGAAGATGCTCTGTGTGTCAAGTCCCACTTGTCTCCAAAAGACTTCCAAGAAATAAACCGTCTTCAAAGTAATGCTGAAAAGGACCGAGGAATATGCAGTGTTTCACCTGCTGATGTGGCACCTAATCTCAAATCCCACTGCAGCGTGTATCCAAAGTTCGCCTCCTTTCCACTTCTCCTTTGTGTCATTCACATTGATTCGTGCTGACTGAGCAAAGCCAATAATAACACCTCTCACAATAAAGAAAGATAAAACGAAAAAGTGAATGCAAACAGCTTTCGGCACTGTGGATAGAACATACTGTAGCAGCATAGTTCACCCTCGGGAAATTTCTTTTTTCTTCTGATCTTTTCTGTTCCGATGTCTTTGAGTCATCAGGGACCCTGATGCTGATTTTGATTTCATAGACTGAAAAAAATGAGCTGCAAATATTTGTCTGAACCTCCAATTTTGTTTTCATGTTTCATTTAGTTCCACATTCAAACAAAACCCAGAGATCATTATGGGTCAACATCTAAAAACAAACAAATGAAATGGCAGAAATGTTCATTGAAAAGTGTCCTGACATTGGTGTCATTTTTCTTTTGTATTATACTCTTACACAGAATCTTTTGAACATTATCGCACACAACAGAGACTTTTAAAACATTAACCTCCACTGACTCATTTGATATAAATGTTCCACTCAATATAAATGATTTGTATTCAGGCTATTTATGTTAAGTCACCCTCATCAACTTCAATCCCCTTCACAGTTTTTTAGTTGGGAGAAGCCAGGGTAGAATAAAAAAAATAAATTGGTTGTTAAAGTTTAAATTGTTCTGGCAATTTGACAAAATATCCTTGCACTTGCTAAATGATACCCTCCATAACTCCAAGTGCCTTGCAGAAGTACCCTCGAAAAGATACATTTTAGAGATCCATGTCTTTCTTGATTAATTGAACTTGCCTTCACACGTACACAACCCTTCTCCCACCTCTTCCTCCCTTTGTATTTGTACCCTCTCTCAAGTGGCTGTCCAATCATTATTTGTGCTTTTACAGGTCCGCTGACAAAAAAGCACTTTCAGTTTTCACAAAACCATTTTTTTCAGAGATATGGAAAGAGTGTGATGACACAGCGCTAGGAACAACTGCATCTCATACAATTTACTTCTGTCACTCACAAAAAGGCTGTTGAAATAACTTCAAATGATTTGATGTGTTTTTCTGTCCAATATTTCTCTCGCCGCATACTTCCCTTTTGCTTTATTTACAGTTTATATGCTGAATATTGCTGCTGCTTGGAGTATCTCTGAGGGTA